TCCGTCCAGTTGAACAGCTGGTGAAATTGCACTTCTAGATCTTTATCTTAAAAAAGAAAAAAAAAAATAGCCAAAAAGAGTTAAGAACAGTGTGAGCAAGTCCCTGAGTCTGCTGAACGTAAGTTGTGTGCATTCCTCTGAATCGGCCAGGCATGCTGGTTTGGAATTTCTCCGTTACACATTCACGGCTCTACTTCAAAGCTATTGAACTGAGGCCAAGCGAGAGCACTAGCAGCGTTATCTGGAGCTCATCAGACAGAACTTACGCTTTAAGTAAAAAAAAGGAAAAAAAAGATAACTGTTGAAAGTAACAAAAATAAGGAATCTTGAAGAGTAAAACAACATGCAAATCCTGCAGATTATCACAGTTCTCACCACGTGCAGATCAACTACCATACTCAGAATGCAACTGTCAGAAGCAGGCAGGTGTCCTTGGGAAGTTAAGCTATATTGATTTCCTTTTTTTTTTTTCTGAAATTGAAGTCTCTGTTTTGAAGACAAAAAAAATTAAGCACATTAAAGTATTTCTCTCCATTGTTGTGCTCAGGATTCTCCACCATGGTCAAACGGTCAATCAGCATAAATAAAAAGCAAGAAGTCACTCTGCAATGCACTCCGAATGACTTTTAAAGAGTTTCACCCCACAGATCTTGATGGGGGAGGGAAAAGCTGACAGGAAACATGTATCAAAGTTTAAATGGCAGTCTGAGGATCTGGGGCTGACAGAAGTAGAGGCTCTCAACAACTGCTGCCGTTGTGACAGAAATAGAAACAGAGCATCAAGCTCTTAAATGAAGCATTGAGAAGCACCAGTGAGGAAGTTGAAGTTCAGGCATCCAAATCAAAGTGATACCTACCCAGAGAGCACTTTGCTGTATTCTGTTAACATTAAAATGCCTGTCATACAGAGGCACAAAGCTGGTTGCAACCTGCTCCCATGTAGTTTCTTTCAGCCATGCTTTGCTACAAAGCACCAAGGAGGCAGGTGTTTTTTCAAAAATTAAGTCTCAGTCAGAGTGGAAACTTTGCAAACAAAAGCAGCTTTGCAAGAGGAAAGAGTGAAAGAGAATGTTACCAGTTTCTAGCAAATAAGAAGAAAATCACTGAAAATGATTTTCCATTGACCAAATACGCCCAGTCTTGCTACTTCCTGTCCCCTGTTGACAGGAAGTCCTATGTCCTATAACTAAGATAGTTTATAAACAAATTAAACTGCCAAGTTTAGGTTTCAGCTTTGCAATAAGCCCTGTATTAGCAAGATCTGGCAGGTCTGGGCTACACTGTTGACCTCAAGCTGGTGTACAGCCCTCTGCAGATTCAAGAACATCATCTTCTCTCATTCATCAAGAGCAGTTTTGTAAACGCAGTCACAGCGTCATTTATTTCATCTGATCTTGAAAAGACGGCTCCAAACTGAGCTTGTTTGGGATTTACACTGGCTAGTTATTTTATTTCTTTAGTTTCAAATATTTTCTAGCCACTAGTTTATAGATTTGGGGGATTTCTGCCATCTGTCCAGACATTCTGTGGAGTCCGGGATTGAGCGACTAAGCCAAGGCCAAGGCTAGTGTGGGCCACTGCTTGAGCAGTTTGTCATCAGATGGATGGGAGCTGATCCCCATTTCTGTGGTACTGGCTTTTTATTTTGTCGGGAGCCACCTCTGATCCAATGGCAACCAAGGAAGATGCACAAGGAGGGCAGGTGCTGCCTGAATTCCTTCCTTGCCCTTTGTTTGAAGCAAATAAACCTCAGAATCAGGTGAGGATTTTCAGTTACAAGTTAGCAATTGGAAGAAGGTCCAACATAATAATATTATGTTATTATTATGTTATTATTAATAATATTATTACATTTATTATATATTATTATATATTATATATAGATATTATTATAATATTATTATATCCTTATTATTATGTTATTATACCTTAACATAATATTAAGAAATAAGGTGAACAGCAGCTGTGGACTTAGCACCCTGCTGCAAAATTCCCGCCCAAAGTTTTTCCCTAAAAAAGTAACTGTTAGAAACATTGAAGCTTTTTTCCTACACCTCTATGGGGATACTAGCCCATCCTGCTTGCGTACCCCAAAGAATGCATCTAACATCTTTGAAACTTTCATGTCAAAGGGAGTAAAAAGATCACTGTGGATTTAGTGGGGGAGCCACAAAACATATATATTCATATAGACACTGCTGTCTTTAGACCCAACACCAATTATAAAAACTTTGTAGATCTTATGACTGCAGACAGTTCAATTAAATACATAGAAAGGCTACAATGGTTAGGTGAACCTGCAGCTGGAATAAAATAATGTCACATAAAACGGTGCCGTGTTGTCCCAGGCTTCCCAAGCCCCTGAGGGTCCAGAACTTGGGCGCTCTCCGGGACGCTCCGCAGCTCAACACTTTGGCTGCGGCGTTTCATGATGCCACGCAGCCTGCAATTTGTCTTCTCTTTCTTGCTTTCCTTCCAAGGCGATTCCGACACAGTGCCTGTTCCTTGGAGCCAGACAGAGAGCAAATAGCAAAAATTACCTACAGCCTTTCTACGCTCGACCTTATCTTCTGTTAAGTGTGAGCAAAGCCTGCTAAGTAAAGCAAACTACCTGAGAAGCACACAAAATATACTAGGCAAAATAATATGAAAAGCAATTACCACAATGGATAAATATTGCCACATTTAACTCCCTTACTGAGATGTCATTTGGTTTTTTATAGGTGTTTATGAGTGAACTTTCACCACAATAATTTTTATTAAATTTTATAAGAACAAATGCAGGTAGTGCAACTATGTGCTGTCAGCACTTACTGAAAGCAAGAAAAACATGCATTTAACTCAATTTTGCAGCTAGAGGATTCTCTTTTGCTTTGATTGGCTACAGACTCTACAAAATTCAAAGATCTTTAAACTAAGTAAAGCTTTTTGTCTTCACTTACCTTCTTGCAGAGCTGGGTAATAGTGATACATAGGACAGAACAGCAAACCATTGGTATATTTACTTCACTTTGTTGAGCTTTTACTCCAATTCTTGGCTTTCTATATGCTAGCAAGGCTTACAGTTAGATTGGCTTCCAGATAAACAATTCCTCGGATAGAAAATCAGGTCTCTGGAAGAAAATCAGACGTGTCTCTTGGCTTTCTAATTTCCCTATTGTGATGCCATTTTTGCCACTGGTGACTCTGAGTCACGTGAGAATCACAACCAGTTTGAAAGAACTGAGGTGCTCTGTGACCTTCGATATTAAACCTGGATCTCACAGAGACACTTGTAGGATCCCAGTGTGTTTGGGGAGGTTTAGTGCTCACAGAGCGCCACGGAGAACACGCTTGCAAGCCGGCACTGGCCACTACACTCCTTCAAACCTGTTTGTGTGGCAGACGCCTACGTGGACGCTGCTCTCCTGACCTCCCCTCCTCAGGCCCTTGTGCTCTGCCCCACAGCGCTCTCTGCTCTGCCTTAAGGCTTCCCTCTGCCTCGAGGCCGGCTGCTTTTGCACTGCTGTCCCTACCACGGGTTCAGAAAGGTTCTGCCCTTGCTGGGCCCCTGCTCGACCCCGTTTGCTCCAGCCCGTCCCCACGGCACCAGTGACACCGCGCAGGGAAGGAGCAGCGCGGCCCTCCCTCGCACAGGGAGTCCGGCACCAGGGGCTGAGCGTGAGGGCTGCTGTTGATGCACATGAGGGACATTCTGATTCATAAACTCTAATGTATAATTTACATGTCCTTTAAAATTTATGAGGAACACTCTAATTTATAAATTTATCTACTTTACAGACACCCAAACCACCCAAGGCAACACCCAGGCGTAACCACCTCTGCGCTCTTGGCCCTTCCAAGAGCTTCTTAATAATTTTTTCTTCTTTTAAGCTTTAAGCAGAACAGAGGAAGTCCCACATTTCTTATAGCAGAACCTGGAGATGGAGGCATTAGTATTTGGTGGATTAGTTTAGCAAGTACCACATAGCAGGCTCCTGTCGTTCATTAAAAACAGTAACAGCTTCATGGCCAAGTTTCAACTAATGCACGGTCTGCATTGGTAGACAGTGATATCATACACAAGCAATTTCTGGTATTTCACTCAGTGGGAAACAAACTAAAAGCATCCACTTCAAAACGTGTCCCTCCTAGGGAATATAGGAAGAATTCTAGGAAATCTAGAACAAGGCACGCTGGAATTCAGTGGGATTATTCACGTGCTCCAAGTTAGGGGGCACTCCTGTGAGCTCTGGCATCAGCAGGTACCCTAATAAAAAGTGATGCACACATCTATGGGACCTCTCCATTCATCAGAATCTCAAAGTAACCTAAGGAATATCCTACCTTCTCACATGTGCTCCAAGTTCTTAAAAGCGACCCTTCATCTTCACACTATGCTTCAAGTGGATTATTAAATACACTACAGTGAATTTCAGGATACTTTACTAATCCAAATTTATCTCATCTATCCAAAAATTCCTTCAGACTATTTTTTTTTCTGTGCTCTGGAGCCTACACACAGTCTTTAAATCTTTTTGAAAGGCTAAAGCAACATGTTGTAGTGCAATTGCTCTTGCATAGTATTTTTGCTGCCTTTTTTCCACTTTAGTTTCTCATACACTCTTTTCAGTAATGGTCATCGCTTTGCCTTATTTTATCAAATAAATGAAAAGCTCCCCATCCTTTTCTAGTTCCCTTCCCCTGCCGTTGCCCTTTCACAACAGATACAAATTAATTGATTTTCTTTCAGGATTGTAACTCTATTTGCCACAATCTCAGAGATTTCCATCCTGTTCTGGAAAGAGTCCCATTACACTAGTTTTTCTGGAGAACACACTGTCCAGGTCTCCGTGTCCTGAGGCCAGTTTCTGAACTCACTGTCATTACTCTGCTTTCCTTCTTCCTTCCTGTCCTTACAAAAGCAGGCCCTACCATTCCATAATTATTTTTATGCAAATCACCCCCAAGGATTTTTTCTTTTAATTACACAAGACCAAGAATAATTTTATTGGAAATAACCAACAAAATTGCAAGAAATTTTAACTCACAGTGCTGCCCAATGTATATTTTGTTGTTAGGAAACTGTTCTCTGGCTGAAATTCCTGCATATGCAGCAACTTGAAAGATTTTTAGCAGAGCATCGCCAACATCAGTCATTCTTCTTACGTAACTTCTGCTGTCAAACCTCAGCAGGTACAGCAAGCCTGTTAGTTTCCAACACATCTTTCCATATCTACGACACACATTTTTTGGCTTTGGTCTCTTTTTTTGCCATTGGTGGTCTCCATTTTAACAGGAACAGCCTTTTCACTTCAGTTTAACCGTAGGTTGACTTTCAGTTTCGCCATCGTTGGCCTCCAGTTTGCTCAGTTCCTCCTGCAGCTCACACTCCAGCTCATAGTCAGAGACGGACTCCGTGCTCTCCTCCAAGTCCTCAGCTTCATATTTGTCCAGTAAGTACCTCTGTGGGGTAATGTCATCATCAGAGGGTTTCCTTGCCTTCTTCTTTCTCATTTTCCTCTGAATCACAGACAGCTGCTGCTCCTGCTGCTCCATCCAGGCAAGGCCTTCTGGTTCTCTGGACACTTTCAGCCTTTTGTACTCCATTATCTGCTTATTCAGCAGTTCATGATCAATACCAAACAGATTGGACCGGACGAGTGAATCTGCAGATTCTGTTGTTGAAGAGCCTGGTTTACTGTGAAAAGGAAAAGATTTGTGTAGTTAGTCGGTTGGTTGGTTTTCCTTCTGCTAATTGTGACAATTTGGCTAACCCATAAATAACCTGGACTTCTCTGTGGGAGTTCATTAATTCACTGTGTTTGTGCTCCCCACGTTAAGGGGGCTGGGCTAAGTGTCCAAGGATGGGCTGTGAATAGGCTTCATCAATGGATTTATGAGGAGAAGCCAACAGAGCAGTTACATTCCACGTGAAACCGTTCATTTCCAGATGCTTTAGAGAGTGGAATTTGCAGAAGGGCAAGTCACCCAGAACATGAACAAACATCATGGAAAGCTAAAACCTTAGAAACTTGTGAGGCTGTAATACTACTATGTAACATACTTTCATTTCAAGAAAAAAAGGTCACATCTCTGAAATACTGCTGATTTCTGAGACTATGTTTTTTTTATCATGTTATAGATTGTTTTTAAAAGCCCATACACTGTGCTGTTATAAGGGATGATAAATGTAGATTTTCCTTTCTGTATTTGCAAAGGTTTTGTATTTGTATTTGGTTTTGTATTTGCAAATTTGTATTATGTATATGCAAAGGTTTGCAGCAAGGTACTGCTGCAGAAGAAGCAAAGACAAAACAGCACCACAAAGACACCTCAGCACTAAAGTATTAGAGTAAATCAGAGCACACACAGTAAGGAATATTTTCTCCTTCTTTTGAAATATGTGTGCACCATTTGTAAAGAAGGCCAAAACACCAAATAAAATGCCATCCTCTGCAGTAATTTCTGGAATAATTACATAAGATTTTGTCTTATGGACAATCTGGAATGATTACATAATTAATTTTGTCCTCAGTTATTTTGTAGCTTTTCACTGTTACAAAAGACCCCAAAAACAAGACCTTGCTGTGGTAAAGTCTTCTGTAAATTCTCTCTTCTAGTTTGTATTTTCTCTGCAGACCACTTTACTGAACTCTAATATAACAACAACAACACATCTAATTAAAATACACTTTTTGACACATCAAATAATGGTCAATTTAAGCTGGCAAACACAAATGAAAATATAGTATGTTGTCCAAACACTTGTCCAAATTTGATTTAAAAGGCCCACCTGGAATCATTTAGAGGCAGGCTTTCTTCTTCTTCAGGCGGTCCAAAATCAGCAATTGACAATAATTCATCAACCTGTGAAGACATGGAGGCAATACACAATAAAGGCCCTTGACTAAATTTCCTTTTTCTACACCTACACAAGAAATAGACAAATATCAAATATCAAATTCTTTCTACGTGTATGGAATATTTAGCAGAACCATTTCAATATAGTCTGTCCCTCCATTTTCATTTAAATAGCTTCTGTGAAATGTATGCTGTGGTACCATCTTTCACTGGCCATGAGGTGAGCAGGATCACTCAACAGATCTCACCGCCTTTTCAGGCTATGAGGGTGAAAAGATAGATCTATTTTTCTTGACAGGGAATTTTATATCAAATGGCATGATCAATCCATAGATTATTCATCCTGCAAAGTTTTTTATCTTATGCATATTATGAACATTTTTTTATTTGCTTTTACTTCAGTCTTGCAAATTCTTTTTAACAACATCTTTATGCTGAGATTTCTGCATATCTTCTGCCCTCTTTCTCCAAGTTTTTGCCTCTAATCCATGTAAACACTGAACAGTTTTCCCAGCTCCCTTTTAACATCATACCTGACGGGAAAGTGCTGCAAATCTAGTAAATTTCATGCTTGCAGACTATACTTAATTGAGAAAATTTTATATAATTTGAAATTTTTATTCCTGCTTTTCTTCACATCCCTTCTAATTCAGAGTCCTATTCTTCTTCTGGGAGCTGAATCAGACAGTCTTGCCCTGTTCGGCAACGCTTAAAAATCAGTTTCAGGTACATTATTTTAAGCCCTGTTATTCAAACTTGTGGATTACTCAAATCACACAGCCTGCAAACATGAGAAGATGACTCATCTGCCTGTTTCCTAATGCCATTCACTGACAGCAACTGCATAAGGAGGATTTTTCACTTATCTTTTTTGGCTAGCTTAGCTTAGCACCAAGAAAGGCGCCATGCACTGAAACACCGAGGCAAAGCAGTCCAGAGGGTCTTCCTCTTCTTCAGGAAGTACAGGAGGTCATTTTAAGAATGTTGGGATACAGTGATTAACAGAACATAACGCCATAACAGACTTGAAAAGCAAGACCTGGAAAAAGTGTTGTGGCTCCATCTAGACATGTTAATAACAGTAAGGATGGCTTCAGAACCACAGGTATATTGTGTGCTACCTGTGTGATTCTGGTATTGAGCTGAGGGGTGCATAAGGATGAAAACAAACTGCTTTTGGAAGTGTTTAGTTCATCTTTGTTCCGGTGGCTCTCGTGGAGGCTAATGAGGATGAGGAAGATTTAGACTGTGGATCATTATATTGGCATGAAGCTCTTCCAGAATTTTTCACCCCAAGGAAAGAATTTCACTGCATTTCTAGCGAGTAAAGAAGTTCTTAATATCTCTGCCCAGGCTGCTAATATGCAATGTATAAGCCCATTTAATAGTAACTGCATATGCTAGTAGTAATAATAATACATCTAAGAACAATGCACTTTAAAGAACATTGACTGAAATGAGCATATGCACATTTCTGTGCCCTAATTCACCCAAATAGCTTGAGGAGTCATATTTCATGAAATTTCATTCATCAGTGTCATCTTTTTTTCTGGAAAGCTCACCCTTTAGAAAAGGCCTCCTTTTACACTCCTAGTAACAGCAAATTCCTGGAAACTACCAATACTCTAGAAATACGTCTGCTAACTAAAACAGTCAATGCTTTGAGCAATGTGGAACACTGTGGACTTAAAAATTAATTTAAAAAACAGTTTCAGTAAGCTTAATCCTCCATGCAAAGCTATGCATTCTCCAGAAATGTTTTAACAATCCACAAATGGAAAAAGATTGAGGCAAACAACAATAAAATCACTACTAAGACTCAATGGCATTTTAAGAATATATAATGTTTAAAACATAGAACACAGTTGCTCAGACCTAATTCCTACAATAATGTGTGCAAGACAGGAGGTAACTGGCTACTCTGCGAGTTTCATTGCATTTTAGGGCATTTGGTTTGTTTAATTCACTTAATTATCTGTCACAAGCTTCTCTAAATATTTTATTTAAGAATTTCTAACACAGCCAGATTCTTGAGGGTGTAGCCACAAAGATTCTTTTACACTAAGGATTCTTTGTGAAATGCTTTGGAACGTGAAGAGGAAAGGAAACCATAAAGACTAGTTTCTAAAGTAGATTGCTACTGTAATTGAATTATCACCTCTCTCTCTGTTCCTAGGCAATATGATATACTAAATGATCATACTTATGCCTATAGCAATGTTTCTACAAGTCAAGTATTACAATTACCTTTTTTAAAGCTGCTGCTTCTTTGTCTTTTATAAATACTATTGGGGGCACGTTTCCTACAATCTGCTGACTCATCAGAAGATACCTGGCAAAAACACAACATTCACAAGTTTGTTTAATAGTACAACATCTCTAGAACAGGTAAGATATCTGTAACTAAGTTATACTAGAGCAGCAGTGAAAGTGTAAGGCTAAGGTCTTACCTCTACAAGGTAAGAGGGTATCTGAAGGCATTCACTCAGGTTACAGCTCCGCAGTATGTCACTGCAGAACCTCATCTTGGAATGTGTAACATTATAAAAGAACATTACCAAATGAGCTGCAGATCCTAGCGGGTATCCCTTTTGTCCCTTGTTGTCTCAGGTTTCCCAGAGAGGCTGCGGAGTCTCCTTGTCTGGAGATATTCAAAACCTGCCTGGACATGATCCTGAGTAATGTGCTCTAGGTGACCCTGCTTGTGCAAGTGGAAGGACTGAGGATCTCCAAGGGTCCCTTCCGATCTTGACCATTCCGTGTACACACAGACTGGCCCAAGGTTCTCCCCACTCCGTCTGGCTTGTTCACCCCACTGCAGGAGCAAGAGCAGCTGCAGGCTACAGCCCTCAGAGTATGGCAAGAAAAACAGCCCTCCGCATGCCCCAAACACCACCACTAACTCTCACAGAGATACCCTGACCCCAACTACCTAAGAGCCCAAAGTCCAATTTAGATTGTTAGGAATGTTCTTGCTGTGTATTGCTGTGCATTTACGAGGGATTGTAACAGTTTCTGGTTAGCAGTACCGTATCCGCGGAGCACTCTTCTGCAGGACGCCTTCAACATAGCTCTCTTTTTCCGTGGTGGACAAAGGGTTCCAGTAAATGCGACACGCTGAGAACCTTGGCGCCATGGACACCTGCCAAGAGCAAAGACTTTCAAACTTACACATATATACTTCATATGCACCAAAGCATCCACTTCATAAATAAACATGCAGCAATGCAACAAATGCTTAGGAGAACCTTTTCTCCTAAGGAGGAGAAAGAGAGGAGAACCACTCTTCTCTTAAGAATCAAAATGCTAGAGTGCCCTTGCAGCAGTATGGTTAAACACTGAGTAAGATTCACAATCTGCATTTGAAGGCACTGTTAATTTAGGAAAATCACTGCCTAATCACCCCCTTAATTAACTGAAGAAGTCATCCTTCAGCACTTGTACGTTATTGACAGTGCTATTTTTATTGAATGTCAAGCTACTACCAAATCAAATAGTTCAGAATTACTATTTACCATGCACTATGTTGGAATATAGTTGCTGAAAAGTACATGCTTCTGCTAAAGAACTGTGACAATATCTGGTCTGCTCTCACCTAGAGTTTGGATTTGATATTCACAGAAATAGCTTGGCATGCATGCAGTTCTCCTGCACATACTTTTGAAAACACATACACTTTTGTAGAAGGACAGATTGCCTTCTTGAGGAATACACTTTTTAAACATAAATCAAATTCTCATAGATTTCCATACTGTCATTCATGTCTAATAGCAATGTCTTAAAAACACTTCTCACTAATTCAGCAAAGTATATTCAGCAAAGCCCAGTCCAACACAAGCCACTTCTTGATCATCATGTGAATTACGAGCAATGTAACAGTGTGGATAAAAGTCTGAAGCATCAAAACTGAAGCATGAAGCTTATCTGTATTACTCTAAATCTGTTACTTGTGCAACTTTAAATATTAGAAAGCAAATTCTGATGAATTGCCAAAAGACTTCTAAGAGCTTTATTTTGATAATGGAAATAACGACATCAGATCATGATTAGCTTAAGAATAAAACAGGACTAAGTCTCTGTCATGTCCCAGAGCAGCAGGGACAACATGTAATATGCAATTATAAAAATACTTGCATGGTGTTTTTAAGAAGGCTGTTTCTTTCCCTCCTGTATTTCATAAGCCAAATTTGCTGCAGCAATGTCTCCTCTAAGTCCTGCAGCTTGCCTACACCAGCCTACACCAGCCAGTAGCTGAGTGCAGACCTGCCACCAGGGTTACAGAGGCAATCCCCGGAGCCCTACAGAGAGGAATAATGTAAGAGGGGCCACTGCACACACATATCCAAAAGGTGCCCTTACTTATGTATTTTGAATCACTAGCCTGAAGGCGAAATGAATTCAGCCAAGAGAAAGATCTGTTTCTATCACAACTGACAAATCCCATGCCAGGGATGCATCTATGAGGTACAACTCTTTTTTTTTACGCGCTCCTTTTGCCCGTGGCAAAAGGTCTAATGAGAGCAGCTCAGCACAAAGTATTTTTCACACTTGCCTTGCAGATTTCTAGCTTGAGGTCATAAAGTTCTTGATTAATTTCACAGGTACTCATCATCTCTGTCACAGCTTTATAAATGAGATTATTCAAGACTCTGCAGCGTATGGTATCTTCTTTCCTGAATTTTATCTGGTCAACTTTCATTCCAGAGGCCAGCATGGTTGGTTTATACATCTTCAAATAAAATAAAATAGAATTAGTTAGTAGCTACAAACTTATACTAGGCAATAGCATGTAGTTTTACCAAACAAGATCTTAGAATGACATCATTGCAGCTGTAGTGATCTTACATAGGTCTTATAGCTCAAATGTTTAAAGAATTTCTTCTCACAAGGAGTATTTCTCCTCACAAAACTTTATCTTCATATCCAACAGACACGGCTTCTTATTCTAACACTTTGTAGCTATTATTACAGCTCAGTGGGTCAGTTTTCTAAAACAGCAGGTATTAACAGGGGGGAAAAAAAAAAGTAAAAACTTTTCCAGGTAAGTCTCATATACTTATTTTTGCAGCATGGATTGCCCAGAAAGACAGCATTGAGCACCATATAATTTGCAACTAGAAGTAAGAGTGGAAATATCCCAGAGATCAAGTAATTAAAAACTCCAGGTCTTGCCATTCTGTGACTGGGGCTGCTCTTTGCAGGCTGATGATCAGAATTTACCTACTAGTAAGAACTCAAAGCAACTGCGGATATGTCAGAGATGCTTGTACCATGAGCACCATCCTTTTCAGTAAAGGAAAACTGGTCTGAAAAGGCTCTCTAGAGTCACCCAGCCTAGCACTTCTTGCCATCACAAGCAACCATGTTAGGAATGTTTCTTCCAAAGGGATCCATAAAACACGTTCTCCACGTGCTGCTATATACTATATATTGCCAGACTACTTCCCCACACAGCATCTACATAAGCTAAAAGCCTCAAAAATTATGGAAAACCACGGTAAGGGAGCAAAAATGTCAAAGCTATGAACCACATCCATGATGGCCACAACTGCAGAAAAAGAAGTAAAAGCACATAGGGAATACCAAAAGGTGGAACATTGTGCCCCATACTATTGTAGAAAAAAAGAAAAAGAACGAAAAAAATCCTGACAATTAGACATTTTAGACACAGCCCTGGCACAGGCTGCCCAGGGAGGTTGTGGAGTCTCCTTCTCTGGAGATCTTCCAGATTCACCCGGACGCCACCCTGTGCCCTGTGCTCTGGGTGTCCCTGCTGGAGCAGGCGGTTGGACTGGATGATCTCTAGAGGTTCCTTCCAACCTCAACCATTCTGTGATTCTGTGATAAATATATATATATATATATTCTATAATTAAGAGTTTACAGTAATTGGCTCTGGAGCATCTTTCAAATGCCCTTGGAGATTTGGTCTGCATTCTGTGATGCCTGGAGCTGAGCATTACACAGAAGCAGACCACAGCGCTGCCTTATCTACAAACAACCTTCTGCCCAAGGTGCCTCCGTTGAGGGCTGCTTTAGCTGAGGGAGGGCAGCGGTGCCACTCGGAAGGGAAGCCGCAGCCTCCTTGCGGGGATTCCTCCTGACGCTGAGTGGTGATCCGGAGCCCATCCTCCCCGAGAGCCGCGCCGGGAAAGCGATCCGGATTAGGGATCTGGGGAATGGCAGGTGCAGTGGCTGAAGCACGTGTTTGTTCCTCCTCCACACGCCAACATGACGGCTGAAAACCTTGCACTTACCGTCTTGGACTCCACGGCTGGACTGTCATACCAGAACTTCTTCCTTTGGAGGAAAAAAAAAGTGAAAAATAAAATAAAAATAAAAGGAGAATGGCCCACATTTTTACCAATTCAGGGAAAGGGCATCCCGTGCACCTAGAACTAAAATATCCCCTGACAGGCCACCCACCAACACCAGGGTTTTGGCCCCAAAACTGTTCTGTTTCCATGTACTATCTACATGGGGTGCATCAGGTGGGGTATGCGGGACGCAACGCCTCGCACCCCCGGATAAAAAAGCCGCATATGGAAGGGAAATCACAACAACAACAACGCGTTTTGTGTTCAGGGAGCGGCACGGGGTGCCATGCTGTGACGGCTCCGCGCTCCCCGCGGCCCTCCACGCTGCCCGGCCCGCCTCAGCCCCGCTCCCGCGCGGGGGCCCGCCACCCACTTGGTTTTGCGGAGCATTTTCCTGAGCAGGTTCCTGGAGCCGCGCAGCGCGGCCGAGGTGCGCAGGGCCCGCGCGCCCCGCGCCGCCCGCGCCGCCGCCGACACCGCCGACAGGCCCCACATGTTCCCGGCCCGCTTCGGCCCGGCCCGGCAGGACGCGGCTCGGCCCGGCCTAGCTGGACGCGGCCTGGCTCGGCGGGGAGGCCGCAGCGCCCCTGGAGGAGGCGGCCGTAACCGCGGCCGGGGCGGGGCCGCCGCCGCCGCCGCCGCCGCCGCCGCCGCCGCCGCCGCCGCCGGGGCGGTTGTTTCCCTGCTGCTTTTCCTGGCGCTTCCCGGTTTTTCCGTCCTTTCCCCAACGTCACCGCAGGTCCCGGGACGGTGCTGGCTGCGGTTGCGGCAGGAGCCCAGTGGCCGCCACGGCGCCGCTGCAGCGGCCGCGCGTGAGCAGGGAGCAAGAGACACACATCACACCGAAACAACGGCCTTTGCTTTGCTTTGTTTTGTTTTATTTCTGTTTGTTTTGTTTAAGCTCAGGATCAGCCCTCCAGGCTTCTACAGTCACTTGTATTATTTAAATAAATTAAATCCACACACGGCAGCTCTGTGTTTCACCTGTGCGACACAGAGGCTAGTTACATGATCAGCGGCTAATTACGTGGAGGGCGACGGAGTTCCCGTTTCCTCACGTCAGCACCAGCCCTGCCAGCACGAGGAGCACTGCCAAACGCAGGCCGCCTCACAGGGGCACCTCGTTAGGGACAGGAAGCCCTGCGAGAGCAGCCTCTATGCTCTCAGCCATCTCCCGCATCATAACGCGGCGAGTGTCTTCGGTGGCACTGCCAATGTGAGGAGTGATTATAACGTTCTGCATCTTCAGCAAAGGATGATCCCTGAAAAAGGCAAAGAAATACTGAAACAGCCACTCACGGAGCATTTATCTGCTATTTCAGAACCTGAAGGGAGACAGGGACGTATTAAAATAACAATTACAATTAAAAACTAATGGCATCATCCGCACGTATTCACAGTGGAGTTCACCACCTGCCTAGCTTGCAGTTTCCTGGCAGTGCGTCCTCCAAGTGAGTCAGTGTGAATCTGGTTTGCCTAGGACTGCAGGATTGCAGACATCATCTCGGCAGGACTCGTGCATCTGCATTACGTCCTTCTACTAATAATTATAAAAATTGCATAAGCTCATACCCACAAACTTACTTTGAAGCACACAAACCCCTTTAGATTTAATTAAAACTTGTGTTCTACCTTGGCAAAGGTTCAGGGTATGTCACATCCAGAGCACCTGCCTTAATAACTTTCTTTTGAAGGGCTTCTACCAAAGCATCCTGATCCACAACCAGACCTGGATTATATTAGGAAAAAAAAAATAGACATTCTTATTTTCATATTCCTTACAGATCTCTCGCCACCTTTTTTGGCACAGTGTCAAATTCTAGGACTAGTGATGTTCACAAAGCAGAACTGGCAGCAGAGGATGGTAAAGGCATGAGGAAAAGCCAGGCACTCACATCAGAGCTGGACAATCAGAGATTTTAAAAGGCACTACAACAAACCATAAAATAAAGTTTAGTGCCAGTCTTCCGAGTGGGCCATGCCACCTCCATGTGTGTTAGCAAGAGCACCGCACTAAACAGGGAAGAAAATAAAACGCTTGAGTAGGAGATTGTACAAATACACACAGAAGATGAATATTCTACACTCACCAGCATTTTAGAACTGTTCAAAATTACGGAAATGCTTGCAAGTTTTACCAAAATACAACCATGGACAACCATGGACTTCTAAATAATCCAGCAATCTGAAAATTTCATGGTAACAGGCTTGATATTAGGGTTGATTTTCCCCAGGAGTGAATATCCCCCAAATTAATAATCAACAATCATAAAGCAGCTCTATTAATTCTGCACCCCACCTCTGCTGATATTAATGAGAGTAGCTGTGGGTTTCATCAGCTCCAGTTCCCTCTTCCCAATCAGTTTGTGCGTCTGGGGAGTCAGAGTCACAGCCAGCATGACAAAATCTGACTGCTGGAGCAAGTCATCTATCTTTTTACAGTAAACAGCTCCAACAGCACTTTCTTCTTCCTTGTTTCTGAGGGAAAAATAAATAAACAAACAAACAAACTCCAGTAGCAAGCAACAAGTTACAGAAAAAGTTCAAATCACCATAAAAGAAATGGATGCCTTCAGTGAGAAGCACCTAGCTAGCTACTTGGCTGAAACACAGCAAAGGAAATGTTAATCTTTGATCCCCAGGGTATCAAGTGCTCTGTTCAAAAGTGTGCAGTAGGAAAGTAAGAAATGAGTACCACATAAATGCACTCAATAAATAGTAGATTTATTTGTGTCACAGTTTCTGGTTGTGACAAAGATTGTTTTCCAACCCAAATGCAAGACACTATTATGTTTGACATGAACTCTTCTCCCTGTGAACAGTAACCCATATGAAAATTGCTGACAGACACAAAAGGGCAATGGTTGAATCAGAAATTCATGTCAGTAGAAGCCTCCTTGATGTGTGGATCAGTGCTGATTCATGAAAACCACAGGGTGTAGGATCTGCCAGCACTTTATACCCATTTCACCGCAGCCTCGCCTGACCTGGTCTTCACAGGACCTGATAGGCAGGTTGACTTTCTGGCTTGATCTCCCATCTGCTTCATCACCATGACCTTGCCTGGTGATCTGGACTCTTGGTTGAAGCCAGACACTGTCTCTGGCTCAGTGCTGCTCAGGTGCTGTGGGGTTCTGTGGGGCAGGGCCTGGGCTGGTGACTGACATGCTGCTGCACTTGGCTCCCCTTCACATGGCGAGCAGCCAGCCCTCAGTGCTTCCTGACCCTACAATATCTATTAATGCTGCAGATAGCATCCTATCCTGACACAGAGGGAGCATAAGATCAGTGTGACAGCCCAAGGCATGAGTAATTTTTAAAAGCAATGACAGACTCTCCATGGAGCAGTATTGTTTTTACCTCTGGTTCCTGTTGTGGTACAGTATCTTCATTTCAAAGGCTTTGGCCCTCTGAGCCATTTTGTAGCCAATGGTGCCCATTCCAACAATCCCTAGAGTCGCCCCAGAAACTTCCACTCCCAGCCAGTTAGCAGGGAAATACTCAGTGTCAGGGGCAACTGCCATTTGATAGCCTGGGGGAAAGAAAACAAATAAAAAACATCATGTAAGAATTGAACGATCCCTCGATCCCTCGCATCTGGTTACTTTTCTAAGACAACACAACTCAGAAGCAAAAGAACCACAACTTAGTGCTACTGTTTTCTGGCCAAGAAGTGAGTAACATTGCACTGGCAACACAATTTCTTAAACTGATTTCTTGCTTAGGATAAGAAACATACCCTTGTCCTATGGAAAACAAGGAAGGTAGGACAAAGTTGCAACCTCACTTTGACACCCATCACAAACCTTCTTGTCACCTCTCTCTGCCAGCAGAACCTATTCCTGTCCCATTAGGGGGACATTAGGGACCTCATGTCCTAATGGGACATGAGCTGTACCTCAGCTCCAAGGGACATGAGCCTCATGGGACTCATGGTGGTTGGGCAATAGGTCTAAGGAAACTGGCAGGGCCTCAGGTATCACCCAGTCTGGAGATACTGCCCTGAGTAGCTGATGAAATAAAGGTTGTAGCATCACTGAAAGACTTCTGGTAAGTAAAAAATAAGATTCCCAGCCATCCTGAAGATGTGCCAAAGCCAGCTGGGAAAAGAAATGCAGAAAACCATGGATAAATTTCTAGAGAGTTTTGCCATAATGTCTCTAATATGTGGCTTAAAGACATCTCTCAGGGCTTTCTGCAAATATTCCATTTCATCAGAAAATGAAAAGCAAGACTGCAGTGAACAAGCAGCATGAGGAAAGGTTACGGGCTGAGGCTGAAGAGATCTGAATTAAATGTGTCTGGAAGAAGGAACATAGCTATCACTGTTATGTCTGTGTGCAAACTATATGCACTATGTTTAAGTCACTGTCAGCAAGACAGATTTACCTTAACTTTCCCTGTATTTTTCTTTTTTTTCCTTTTAACTTACTTCAGCATGCCTTTTTTTTTTTTTTTTTTTTTTTTTTTTTTTTTTTTTAAATAATACACTTTGAAGAGTCAGAACTAGATAATCTCCAAAGGTCCCTCCCAGCCTCCCAGCCATTCTGTGACCCTACAGGAAGGCTAAATGCCACTTCACATATTACCTTCCACAAGTCTCCGGGCAGATGCCAGCATCAAAGCCATCCCCAAGTCTGCAGTGTCCGTGGAAACAACAAAGGGAGTGTTGGACAACTTCACACCAAACCTGGACAAGAGCTTCAGGTCCAAGTGATCTATTCCCACCCCAGAGCTTGAAACTATCTTCAAGTTAGGCAGGCTCTGGAGCAGCTCTTCATCAATAACAGGCTTGTGATACCACATATAAATAGCTCTGATCTTTTCACTAAGAATCTTCTTGTTTTCAAGATATTCTTTCATGGTGATAAGGCAAAAACGTTTCTTTAGGTATTCAAGGTGGTCCATATATACTCCATGTTTCCCTTCTATACAATCAATTAGCACGTACGGCAGCTCCTGCTCCTCCATGTCCTGCAAAAACAACAAGAAAACACAGTCATATCTCCTTAAGTGTCCTTTATCCTTTTCCTATTATCCTTTATCCTCAAAACAGGATAAAATTGAGCAGGTCCATTACTTTGTTTTTCCCCACTTTACAATGGAGCTGGCTAAAGCCCAGGCATTCCCTCTGACATACAGAACTCTTCCTGTGTTGATCTTCTTTTATTCTGAAGGATCTTTAACTCTTATGCAGTCTTGCTAATATGATAGGAAAACCTTATTTTATTTTTCCTGGCATACTAGCTGTGCTAACATGTACACAAAAGAGCTACCCCATACTAGCCTTGTTCAATTATCAATCTGTTGAGAGGCCAAGGTCTTGAAAAGTTAATAATTTATATTTCCCCTCACAGCCCTGTGAATTCAGGGCTTGTGAATATTCAGGTCCCCAAGGTCTACCCTGCTTACTGCGTATGGAGCCATGTAAAGTGATTGCTGTGAAGAACACCACAGGGCAGATCTTCCTTAGTACAGTTTATATACACACAGAC